AGCAGGGGGCAGAGCTGGTGAGCAGTCAGTGCCAGGCCAGCCAAGGCGCGTGCCAGTAGGCAGAGGGAATTGATGGCGATGCGGGGGGTGGGGGGTGCGGTGGGTACCAGCAGCAGTGGAGGGGTGATCGGGTGGATGGGGCCAGCCACTCATCGACCAGTATCAGGCCAACACCATCCCCTGATGGGCCTGCTCAGTTGCCTCCCACAGATGGAGGTCAGTGCAGCGGCAGGTTGATGGGGGTGGGGCTGGCCACTTGCCGGCCAGAGCTTTCCCCTGATTGTCCCTCCCAGTCGCTTACTGCAGAGGGATGCCCAACTGCAACTTAGGCCTGTTCCCCACTATATAAAAGTCCAATGGGTGAAGAAGGGGAGAAGAGGGGCAGAGGTTGCTCCACAAGCTTGCTGGGGATGAGTGAGGACTTTCTCTGGGGCAGATCCTGTGGGCTGGGGATGTGGTCCCCAGTCACCTGGTTCTTGTCTGGGCTTGCACTTGGCAGCTGCTTATTCTTCATCTTGGCCTTGTAGTCTTCTGAGTCAAAGTACTTTTGCTGTCTCTCCTTTCCAGTCTTTCCACAGGGTTCTCCTCTTCTTGTTTCCAAGACATGGTAGGACTGGGATTGTGGAGTGTAAGGGATCTAGGAAGTCAAACAGAGAAGGAAATGGGGAGGGGAAATAGGGACAATCTGTGCTGCTCCTTCAGCAGTTAAAATGGTGGCCCTTGGCTGTGATGTTGCCTTATTATTTTTTAAAAAATTATTTATTGTTGAAAGTATTACAGATATAACTTTTTTACTTCCCTTGATCCCCTTCTCTCCAATCTCGCTCCTTTCCAGACCTTCACTGCACTATTATCTGTGTCCATGGGTTATGCATATCCTATACTAGAGGCCCGAGGCCTGAAATTCATGCATGAGGGGGGATGTCCCTCAGCCCAGCCTGCACCCTCTTCAATATGGGACATCCTTCTCACAATCCAGGACTGCTGGCTCCCAACCACTTGCCTGCCTGCCTGCCTGCCTGATTGCCCCTAACTGCTTCTGTCTGCCAGCCTGATCACCTCCTAACGACTCCCCTGCAAGCCTGATCAACACCTAATTACTCCCCTGCCAGCCAGATTTCCCCTAACTGCCCTCCCCTGCAGGCCTAATTGCCCCCAACTGCCCTCCTCTGCTGGTTTGATCACCCCTAACTGCCCTCCCCTGCAGGCCTGAGTCCCCCCCCCTCAAACTGCCCTTCCCTGCAGGCCTGATTGCCCCTAACTGTCCTCCCTTGCAGGCCTTTTCCCTCCCAACTGCCTTCCCCTGCTGGCCTGACTGCCCACAACTACCATCCCCTGCTGGCCATCTTGTGGCAGCCATATTTGAACACA